ACGTGGTCAACAGTTAAACATCAATAAAGCTCGGTCCCGAAGGACACCTTATAAAAAAAAAAAAAAAAAAAAAAAAAAAAAAAAAAATTATAACAATTAGTTAAAGATGATAAAAAATTATTTTTAATTTAAATTAGGTGATGTTTTTGAACTTTCTCTTTTTCTTTCTATAACTAATGGTAGTTTGTCTTAAATAAAAAACTAAAAAATGATTTACTACACTTAGGTAGTTATACAAGATATAATAGATATTATAATTAATATCATCTTGATACAATTTGTAACTAATCTTATTCTGTATACAGTAAATTCAAAATAAAAAAAAATAAATAAATAAAAAAATAAAAAAATCAGGTGATGATTATTATTAAATATGTCTAAACATTATATATAAATATTCAGATCATAAACTTCACCTGATTTAAATTAATAAAAATTATTTTTTTTGCCATCTCTATGATTAGTTATATGTTGATCATCTGACCATCATCTGACCAATAAATTTTTGTAAACAAACGCATTTTGTGAACCATTTTTAGGGTCAAATTTCATTTCTATAAATTCACTGATATGAAATTATATATAGTCAAACCCCTCTAAATACAACCTCTCTAAATATACATACTATGAAAAGCCTTCCTAAATGCATGTCTTCCCTTGGGCCCAACTAATATAACACTTATAGGTTCTTATTTCCCTAAATGCAGTACCTCCCTAAATGCATGTTTGACAATTTTTGCATATGGTCCCGCTGCAATGCATTTAGAAAGGTCTGACTGTAGTTTCTTTGTGGAGTTCATATAAACAGCTAGCAATATCGAAATGTTTGTCGAAATTACTTTTTTAAAAAAATAATTTAGACACGCATGTATAACTCAAATACACCACAAGCCGGACCTTCTATCACTAAAGAATTTGTACCTACTCAAATTAAACGTTAGCAATAAATTTTATTTAAATCTAACGCAGTTACCTTAAGCAAAGTATGCGAGGAGTGAGATGATTTAGAGATTATTTTGCACAGTGAATATTGACGTTATTTCAAAGTTAGGAACTAGTGAAACATTGCGTTCTAAAAAGTACTTTAAAGTGTATAATTAAGTTACCCGGGTAATTGAATGTCTTGCGCACGCGTGTTTTATTTTGACGTCGGGCTGATCCGGGACAATCAAAATTTACGCATTCCGATTGGCCATTGTCTTATGCGTCATGCAAAAGAAAATTCTTTATAGATCAAATCGGTTAAATCATCAGATAAAAAAGATCCACACGCCAACAATGAGTTTCACCTTGTCCCGAAAAACTGGCGGCTTAATAAGAATAGAAGTCATGCTCGTCATTTTGCTACAACTCAAATTACCGGGGAGGAAGCAACTAATCCTGTATCTTCATCTAAAGACTCGATCTCTTCCTATGAGGAGTATGCATTGAGAATCAAGTTTTATGAGAAAAGTTCAATGCGTGATATATTAGAAGCAGGTAATAAAATTTGTTATAATATTTTAATATTTTATAAAATCATCGTTTGAACAAAGCTAATCCTTCGATATTCAAAAAAGGCGTTGATCATAATATTACTCCAGAACTTCAAGATTATGTTCTCACTGAAATTAAGGATATTGATTGCTTCAATATTCGTAATTATCCGAAGTTAAATAAAAATCAAAAGAAATTTCTTGGTAAACTCAACCATCTGCTTTTGAACGAAAATGATAAAAAAAACTTTGAGAAATATGTAAATGATTTTGTATTATTTTTGTGTGATCAAGCAAGCCTTGATGACGGAGTAGACTTAACCATGGGATCATGCGCCTTAGTATTAGAATTTAATGAAAATGAATTTGAAGTAGATGCCGATAGAAAAGGCAAAAGAGGTGCTGAAATAGTGTGGGTGTTGTGTGAAGATAAATTTAAAGGAGCTATAAAATATAAGAATTGGGAAGTTCATTTAGTGACATGTATGGTTGCAGCGGCTCAATGGAATTATTCTATGTTGGATGAGGTACAGTCAGACCTCGATATAATCACCAGTTTCGGAAACAAACATTTGGTGATTATAAAAAAGTGTGACTATATAAAGGTCCAATTTTATATGTTTTATAATGTCTAGGACTAAAAAATAGTGTGACTATAACACGGTTGTGACTATATCAAGAGTGACTATAACGAGGTCTGACTGTATATCCAGAAAAAATTGTGGGTATTAGAGTAATTGGAGATAGGTTTTATTTTTATTCGGCTAATATCGATCAATCTTATCTCGAAGATTTATTATGTGGTCGTCCTCAAAACGATTTACATGTTTACAAATATCCCAAAGGATATGGATTCCGTATTTCAAACGCTAATGAAAGGCTAGAGGTGCTTGCATGTTTATCTGATCTTAAAAATTATGCTTTGAGTCTTTCGCCAAAGTTGGATATATACGAAAAGAGGATTTAATAAAGAGAATTTAATGTAGCTAGTTCTTTTTGCTGTTGTAGTTTTTATAACAATCTTTATTAATAAACCAGGCTCATTGTCTATATTGATCACATTATATAATTGAAACTAAAAAGTTTAATTAATATTGGGCTTTAGGATTTTGGCAATACTGACAATACTTATTCACATTTTGATCTATTATTTGCCTCTAAACTACTCTATAATCTTGATATTGGATCCAGTTTTATTTATAATATCCGGTTTGTCTCTCCAATACGAGTCGGTTTTAGTCCGAAGTTAAATAGCTCTGTAATAAACTCAAAACCAAAATGATCTGGTTTATAGAACCGTCTTTATATCTTTATATCACACAAACTCAGAATTTAATTAAATGGTGTATTTAAATCTAATTGTGTATGTTACAGGTTACGTTGGTTTTTAGGTTAGGTTAAACTTGACTCGATCAGTTTAATCAAATTCGAATCAGCGCCCATAACTCAAAAATCTGCATAGGAAATCGCTTTTAATGCACTAGCAAAAAATTTTCCTTGACCGATTTTACTAATATGCTCACAAATACCTAACCATATTTAATAACGAATTTTAAGAATTTTTATCGCCGTTACGTGACTGCAACTTTTTGATGAACCACCCCTAGACCGCGGACGGAGCGATTATAACGACACAGAATACGATGCGACATAATATGAGCATAATTCAACCAATGTCGCATACGCATTATGCGAAAATTATATTTACATGGTGGTTATGCGCCAAGTACCCTCAATTTTAAAATGAAGGTTTTAAATAAAACTCTACTATAACAGATAAATAGTGCTAAACGCTAATGTATAACGTAACGATAAACTCAGTGACGTGTCTGCTGATTGATAATGGTGACTCAGCATATGGGATTTTTCTCAAGAATTGTGATTAGTGACAAATTTATTTAAAACAATAATGTTATTGAGAATATGTGGGGTGCCTCGTATTAAAAAAGGCCCATTTTGACATATAGTTTATTTTGAGATAATTGAGTTTAAACGTTTGTTTTGATTTTTGGACTGATCC